GACGTTTCTGGTTTCAGTTTGTTTCTATGTAATTCTATTAGTCTTCCAGAATTTTAGAAGGAATGAGGAGAGGCTAATTGGCCTGAAGTCTTTTGGACTTGTATGCGAGCTTTTGCCTGCCTTTGGTATGTATATTACCTTGACTTCCCTCCAAAGCGAAGGGATATAGTTTAATTGCAGCGCCCCGTTAAGAATGGTAATTAGCCAATTCATTATGTAATTCTGCGACTGCTGTAATTGAGCCGGGAATAGACCGTCTGGTCCCGGCGACTTGAAGGGCTGAAAGCTATTTATTGCCCAGCATACGTTGTTTTCTGACACTATGTTTATAAGAGTGGAGTCCATTTCAGCTCCACTGTCCTGAGTATAGTATGGCTTTCAGAGCTGCTGGGATGTGGGTATCCATTAGTAGTCCCAGGAACTCTTCACTGGATACCGTCCAACTTCGGTCTGGCTTCTGAAGATAACCGATACTATGCAAAGATTGTGCCATTATTTTCCTAAGTCGAGACGCTTCCGCCGTGTCTCGATATAATTACAAAAGATTTCCATGAATTTATTTTGCTCTCCTAACTTCCTTTTGTATGACCTAAGGAGGTTGTAATAATCCCAGTCTGACTTGCTCGGATTGCTTAGCTAATTGAACTTCTTTCTGTAGCTTTTAAGTTCTAGAGACACCAGGGGGCCTAATTCTACCCCACTTCATTTATTGGACAAGCCACTTAATGCTTGGGCACGATCTCGTGAATCGATTAACGAGGATATCTAGATCCTCCTTGCTATTGGGCTGAAAATCAGAATCAGGGATACGTTTTCCAGCTCTTGCATGTGCACCTGCCACTTCGTTTTCCTATGATTCCAAGTTAATGCCTCTATCGGCCCTTTCCTCTGTTGCATTCAAATATCGGTGATTCTCTTTATTATCAGAGGTACCAGCTCTTGCTCGTATGGCATATAGCGACACAGCCGGTAACTGCTTATGCCCGTTTCCCAGCTTACTGCTGTTCGTTGCTGTAATTATGTAAATAAAACATTAAGGTTTTCTTTGCCAATATGGGCTCTGATTTTACCTTCACAATTACCTATAAGTTCGGGTCCTCAGTCGCAAATACGCCTCCATTAACCCATGGCTCCTGAATGAGGACAAATTCAGGCTGTTTCATTGCCACGCGGTTAATTAGGGCTGCTGAAGCTAGTTTGCTATGATGAAGATTATTCGTAGAAGACGCATTAACTATTGTTATGCTGAAGCAGTTTGCTATGATAAAGATTAATTCGTAGATATCTGCGTCTTCCTGAGAGTCGCTTAAAAATCTCTTCTCAGTATACAAGCTTGAGAGTCTGGCAGCAAGCTCAGACCGGAAGAAGAACACTCACCTTGCTCCATACTTCCGCGTCGCTCGAGGACTCCATATGATCTTCTCTACTTCGCATATCTCTGTTCCGATGCCAGATGGTCTGCAGCATCGGCGTCCGATTTAGAGCGTTATCCTCACTTTCGTGAACCGTAATTTATCTCCCGCCACTTTTCGCCAGCGGTTTGATGGATTTCTTCAAACAGCAGAATCTGCATCGTGGCCCTTTGGTCTCAAGCCAGATTCTGCTACGCTGTCCTCAAACGTCTTGAAATACTTCCACCGGCTGTGATGGTGTAGCCGGGATCCACATCTGCCCTGGATGGTATGTCCTTTTTGTCCACTGCTACCATTTTGCCCGCGGTAAACCTCTCCACCTTGGCTATAGCAGCTTTGTATTTTACCGACCGATCTTCGTCGTCACAAGCAATCATTTTGATCTGGCGCTGGTACCAGCCGGCATCTGGCATGACGGTGGCGGACCCGGATTGCTTAATAGCACTTCCAGCGCCACATTTGTCAGCGCAGCCTGCACCATTTCCATTGGACTCTGGGATTCTTCCTTCGGGATCTCCTCATCCAGAACGCTATGACGATTCGGTTATGGGCCACTTCTGCAAATGATTTTGCGGGCGTTACGCCCTTTATCTTTGGCCTCTTGGTGACGGCTTTGCCTCCGGCTTTTTCTGGAGATCCGATGGTCCCACGAGTGTGGGGGAGTATGTCCGCTTGCGCATAGCCTCCGTTGCGCTAAGGCTATCTTATTACGGAGGCGCCAGGTATCCGTAAGCTCCGTTCGAGACTGGGATTTAAGGGCCCCAGCCAGGTTGATCCTCGGCACGGGTCGCATGACACCTTGATCCAGCCCTTTATAGTACCCGACCATGGTAGGCTCCTATCTGTATGATTGAGGAACACCTAACACACAGATAAGGTCTGACCTTAGCTAGCCTGTGGTATCTATTACCAGTCGGCACCCTCGGGAGGGTTCAGTGGGGATTTTTGCCAACCATCTGTCAGTAAAGTTCTGTAAACTTTACCGAAAGAAGGAGTCTTGGTTAGTTTCTAACAGAACATGAAATGACAGATGTCAGCTTTAAATTCTTTAAGCATAAACGGAGTTCAAGCGGTGATTCTTTGTCGCTCGCCTATCATTATAGGTATATTAAGCATATTTGCCTTCATATATGTATATTACATACAAAAAACGGGTAATAAGATTTTAAATATCCTAACATCAGGTAAATATTCCTTTGAAACCGAGCGCTGTTGCAACCATGAAAGGAAGTACAAAATGAAAAGGAATACCGAATTGCGGAGCAGTGAGCTGTTACGGAAAATAACACAAAGCCTGACCCCCGAGCATGACCTGCGCGGTCTCTTCGTCTTCCTTCGTCGTCGCCTCCCCAACGAAAACCGATTTGGGTGGCAAAAATAAGTCCTCGTCTGAACATGCACATATATGGCTCATGATGTTTACATAGTTTTGCGTGTTCACAATGCAAGTTTTGGGAACTGTTTTTGCCACGCATTCCCAATAATCTAACTATCTGTAGATCAGCTGACCACAACTTGGTGAAAACGGTGCTGTCAGTTAAAGCTATCATCGAATTATGATACCAGCGGTTAAGGATACTATTAGCAAGACATTGAGAAAACTGCCCTTAAATTCCGTTGACACAAAAAACTGGGAGGATGGGTTATTGCTTTTGCATTTAGAACTTAATAATACAGAAGAAACAAGTAAGAAAGCACTAAGTGCGGGTGTAATCGAACAGTTTATACTCCCGCAATTTACATAAGACAAAGGCGGGGAAATACTTTCAAGTGTTGTAAAAGTTTACCTTAAACAAGTAAGAAAGAAGTTCAGCAAACTTACACATTCAAACAATTTATTTTTTGAGAGTGTATGCGTGTGGAAAGTTGCTCAACTATCCCTGCGATAGGTTTAACCTTTTTCAGTTCAAGTGTAATGGTTTGGTTTGGTTTAAATAATTTTTGTATGGAAATAATGTACAAAATATTTCCCAAAGCATCTGTTCCAACTAACAACACAATTATGTACATATAATTTTATATAGTATTGAAAAATATAAATAATTGTGTTTTTTAATATGAGTAACAAAAAACTGACATGCCAAACAAATAATGTTCTACAAAGATAAAATCTAATTTCCACTCAATATTAAAGGGCATATTAAATTGTTAATTTTCCTCCTTCTTTTCATATAAATATTCATATACAGAAAGCATCTGGCATGGCATGAAACCTTTTGATTCGAGAGAGCGCTGTCAATGTTTTATAACATTTGATACTGGTATTACTAGAAATAAATAAGTTTTCAGATTTTTTATTGCCCAATCATCCTCCGACGCCCTGTACTAATTTACAGTTTTGTATCTTAATTTGAAGCTTAGTTATATCCTTTTATATGTTTTTCCTTAACGCCATTTCGTGAGCGTGGTAATGGTCCGATTACACGCTCATCCACAATTTTTACTTAAGTTATTCCTTGCACAGACAGACGAACGGACAGTAATCAAGGTTTCTTAGAATTTCTACATGTTCGGCATTAAATATAATAGCCAATAATGTATGTTCAGATTATGCTGCCTCATTATGTGGCAACATTATATAAATGTTCCATTTTTTACATGACAAAAGAACAAAAAAGTGTCAACCACCTCATTCGGAAAATCCATTATTATCGCTGCGGCAACTCTCACTCTTGAGTTTTGAAATTTTCACTTTTTTCTGGTTAGAAGGCAACATTCTGAGAAAAGAACACAAACTTTGACAGCCCGGGCATAAGGCAGAATAAATGTCATGTGTCAATAAGACACTTAAGATTGGAACACTTATGGATAATATTTATGTATTGGGGTTCCCGAGGCTTGGGAATGAACATTTTTAGCTAGTTCAACTGTTATTTTTTTTCTTTTTTTCCCTATATTTTTAGCTAGTTCAACTGTTATTTTTTTCTTTTTTTCCCGTATATTTTCTGGTTATATGAATATGAATTCTCTGGATGTTGCTGGTCACGCTGTTCAGATTTATGATAGTACTTGGGTAATAGTTAGTTAGATTGTTGTAGTTGTCGCATGGGTGGTATTGTTGCAAATAAATTTCTTTTTCGTATCCTAATTTCTTCAATCTCATTCATTCCATGTGAACTTGGGTTTTGCCCAAAACGCTTGTTATCGAATATGATTTGTCATGTCTCGGTGTGTACCATAAGGTGTTGGCTAGATATGTAGTTTGGATTAGGAAAATTAGGAGTTGGTTTTGTAATGGCTGCTGATAGATTGGTTGGTTAAATTTTTGAAATTATGTTATTTATTATTGGATTATAAAAATATTGAAAAGGTGTGAAGTAGCTTTGGCTGTTATACCATAAGTAGCTTGGTTGAGAGTTTTAATTTGAGGTTAATTATTTTTTTCGGAAGTAAACTGTTTTTGGACAGGTTTTTGTACATTCATTATACAAGCCAATTTTTTCTGTAAGGTGTGTAATTCAGGAATATACTATGATTGGCGAAGTTTTAAAGAAATCAGTGTCTGCCATTTTTGTTTAAAGTTGTTGTTATTAATCTATTGAAACTCTTACTTATCAATATTTGTCTGCGACGTTCATCTTCTTCCAGATATTCTCGTACGTTTTCTTTGTATGGCGTATTACGAAAATCGTCAAGTAAAATACGGTTCAGTGTTTAGGGTTTGTAGTTGAGAATTAGTAACTGTCGAAATTCGTTCCAATTATCAATGTTGTTCATTCCCAGGGTTCTCATCATATCGCCGCTGATGCTTCGTTTAATGTGGCCAAACATAATGTGCTGCTGCCTGGCGTCGTTGGTTTGATATAGAGCGAGGATGTGGTCGATGCGGTTAATAAAGTTGTATAATGAGTTCGGGTTGCCATCAAATCTTTCTACGTTTCCTATTTGGTAAGCCAGTTGGGTCATGTTAGTGCCAGAAAGTATTATTATTTTTTCTGGAAGTTCCATTTTATTTTATTACTATTTTTTTAACTTATTTTATTCATAATTTCTTAGTTACTCTTATTTGTAGTTATTTTCGTTGATTTGTGTTAATTATTCTTATTTATAGCTGATTTACCTTTTTTGAAATAGTTTTAAGTTTATTAGTTGTCGCACTGGTAGCACTTTCGTAAGTACCAAGGTAAATGCGTTGGACTTATTGTATCTAAAATTGTTACAGTGTGTTTCTGTCTAATATACAGATTTTTAGACAAATTGCGTTTCATGGTTAGCACACCATTGTCGAGGTTTACAATAAGCTTGACGCGAATTTGACTGCCGCACGGGTTGCTTTAACGAAAGTATATACAAGAATTAAGAAGCCTCGCTATTGCATCAAGATTAACTTTGCGTCTACCGACAAGATGAGTCGAACAAACGCTCTATTGTAGAAGTAATGCTTCAGTAAGTGAAGTGAACGACGCAAAACCGTTGACCGTAGCAGCTGTTACAACCTATCTTGCAATATAAATGAACACTAACCACCGCTTCTACTATCCAGAACGTGGGCTATCCGTAAAATCACAGTCGAATACAATTTTTTATAAATATTTTTAATAGTTAGATTTTAGTTTAGTTTTAGATCTTTTACATTAAGAAAAATTATAACTGAAAAGGTAAATGCGTGCAAAACCATCAATATAAACAAGGGGCGGCAGTCACTTATTCCGGAATAAGGTCGACGCTAATAAAAAAAAAGATTTTACTTTGTTTTTAGTTTTATCCTCAAATATCAGCTATGATCAAATCAAATATAGCTATGAGCTATTGGTCTTTTGTTTACAACAATTGAGAGAGGAGCAAATGTTTTGGTAAATCTTATGTGTGTTTGTTTTAAATGAGAAGCACTAAGGTGACCATTTTTAAGTGAGCAACGCAGCTGCAGTTGTAAGACGGCGTTCAGACAAAGACTATTTTTGGCGCTCATTATCGGGAAATACACTTTTGGTGTCGCTCACTGAGACACGAGTCCAACAGCTTGGGTCGAAAAATTTTTTTCATTTTTTTCACATCACATTCTTAAATTCTTGAACGTTTCATATACGCGGTGCGCAAATATATTTTTGATTACCTAGTTTTTTACCCTTCACCCTTTTCTAAAATATTTTTTATTATATTATGCCTATTTGCATAGTAAATACAAAAAATTTATAATAAAATTTCAAATTACTAACTAATGTAAATATTCTTTTGAAACCGTGCGCTATTGCAACAAGGAAAGGAAGTTCAAAATGAAAAGGATTGCCGAATTGCGTAGTAGCAAACTGTTACGAAGAAGTACACAAAGAGGATGTAGAAAGGATCGAGCAAGCAAATAACTGTATCATTATTGCAACACTGTTGTTCTTCTAAAGATGCTCCACTTATACTTAACCTAATCAATGCAAATATTTTGCCCGGCAAACCATTGAGAAGTGGAAATCTAAAATTGAATTTCTGCTGAAAATACATTTAAAGTAATATATTATGCATTAGTATATGTACTTAAAACACAATTTGATATTAATTAGTTATAAACTAAAATAAGAACTTAAAGAGTTCTCATCTGAATATTCTCTTATTGAGGAAGCTGTTATATTTTGTTTATTAATTTGGTGTGGCCTGATTGGTTGTTGCCTTTATACAAATTAATGCCTTCCTTTGCGAAGGAAGTAGAAAAAAAACACACCGGTTTTTTTTTGGTCAGTCATCATCCAAATAAAACTGCTGTCAATTACCATTTACCTTAGTCTTATATTCTATTTTACATTTCATTACTTAGTTCTAAAAGCATTGCATTGTCAGCATTTGTAAAGTTGTTGCACTCTTTTTTGAAGAATTTTGAGAAATTATATTTCTCGGTAAAAATCGAAAGCAAAATTATTTGCAAAATCTTTTCGTAAACGTTTGCATAACTTGACAATTGCTGAATTACATTTTGTATTTATTTTGGTTTTAATGTTTTGATTAACTCTTTCCCTCTTAAGTCGATTGTTAACTTAATTGGGGTGTTGAAATTTGTGGAAATGGTCCGTTTTTCTCACTTGAGACATTATTTGTATTTATTTGTGGCTTTGATACTATGTACCATTTCCGCTTATGTTTATAAATTAGAACAAATGCTATGATGAAAAGAATTATAATTGCCACATCTGTGTTTAGACTAATTAAATGTGTATTTATACTATTACCGACTAATATTTTTGTTATTTTCATGCTGTAGTTGTTTTAGGTATAAATTTTCAAGTTTCATATTTAGTTTTGTATTATTACTTTCCTTTATTTTCGTAATTAAGTTTGGTAAAATAAGTGTGTCATATATCTTGAGGTTGACATTGGTATAAGTTTTATTTAATGCATTTATCTTGCAGTTCTCAAATTTTATCAAATTTTTTGCTTTATTTTTACTTTACTGCAATCATGAGTTATTACATCTTTGAAGTTCTTAAATACAACTATTTCTTAAACAACTTCTTTTACATCAGCGTTTTCTAATTTTTCAAGTTCGCATTGTGCTTCCTTAAAATCTATGATGCCTGAAATACAGTTATTATCTATACCAATTAAATTTTTTTCTAGGTTATCTTTGACCTTAATATTGTAAATGTTATTGCTGCTATCGGTAAGTATTTCTGTTTGATCTAACACTTAAGATTTGTTTTAAATATTTGGCAGGGGTTCAAATATTATTTTAGGCAGTACATTAGGAGAAAATTGGGGTATGAGTAGTGTTAATATTATGTTATTATTTTGGAAAAGTACTGCAATTTTTCATTTTACTATAGCTGTCTAAGTCTGTAACCAGGTTTAGTTCCTTCTGTGTCAAAATGTCAGTGGGGATAACTCCTGACTTGCAAGAAAATATAATTTGTCCGATGTCCATGATGTGATTGTTTAAAAGTTATATATCATTGTAATTTTGTACATGTATTGGACAAATAGAACTTCATCTTCGAGTGTTTTAATTTATTAATGTATTGTAATTGCTGACAAAGAATTTGTTGTCTGTTTATGTGTTTCGTGATATTAATAATTTGTTCGGTCATAAAATTGTTTATAAAAGTTAAATTATTAATTGTGCTGTTAATAGTTTGCTCATTGGACATTTTCCTAGGACATTGAAAAGTCCTCGTTTAGATTTAGAATTGATATGTAGGTTATTTATTCGTGTATTAAGTAAAATAAAATTTTTATTTATCATGGAGAAGTAAAAAGTTCGTTCGGTTTTTATCTAAGAGATGGCGTTATTGTCCATAGTACTATGTAGTGTTACGTGTTGAAGCAAAGAGAAAATTCGCTATATTTTACAATTTTTCTTCGATCAAGGCGAAAAAGCAGCCAAAGCGACTGAAAAAATTAATTTAGTTTATGGGCCCGATACTGTAAACGAACGTGTAGCACAAAAGTGGTTTGCTAGGTTCCGTTCCGGTAATTTCGATGTCAAAGATGCACCACGCGTCGGGAGACCTGTCGTCGAAAATTGCGATAAAATCATGGAAATAGTGGAAACAGACCGTCACGTGAGCACTTATTTAATTGCTGAGGAACTAAAAATAAGCCAGAAAACCGTTTGGAACCATTTGAATAACCTTGGATTCAAAAAGAAGCTCGATGTTTGGGTGCCGCACGAACTAACGCAAAAAAACATGATGGACCGAAATTCCATCTGCGAATCGCTGCTGAATCGCAATAAAATCGACTCGTTTCTGAAGCGGATGGTGACTGCCGATGAAAAATGGGTCACTTACGACAATATGGCGAACGCGCTTAATGGGTAGAAGTTGGCCTCAAGAGAGGCCTGTGAAAATTGGCTCTCCGAGTTTTTTGCCAATAGGGACACAGCCCTCTACGAAAGGAGTATAATGTAGTTGGCATCTCGTTGGCAACAAGTTTACGAACAAAACGGCACCTATTTGACTTAAATCGGACAAATGTACACAAAGTTATCATCTTTTGAAAAATCAATAAAAAACCGAACGAACCTTTTACTTGGCCTAATATCAAGGAGTTGTTTGTCTTCAAAAGTGGTAGCATTTACTGTTGCTATATTTTTAGAAATTAACAAGTAAGGAAGGGCTAAGTTCGGATGTAACCGAACATTTTATACTCTCGCAAAGTCGAATGGTATACTCGTTTGAGATTTCTTTGTGGATTGACTGATATTTTCGGTAGAAGGTCAACTATAGGCACTGGGGTCCACATATTTAGTACTTAGGGGCTTGAACAGTTTTGGTTCGATTAAGACAATTTTTGGTCACAAGGTGGCATATTTTAAACGTATTATTCACGCAAGGTTTTACCCCGATATAATCATTGGTGCTTGATATGCATAGTGGAAAGTGAAAGAATCAGATGGAATTGAAAATGGTGTTATATGAGAAATAGGCGTGGTTGTAGCCCGATTTCGCCCATTTTCGCACTATGACATCGAAATATAAAAAGAACGTTATACACGTTGAAATCGGTTGAGCAGATCCCAAGATATGAGTTTTCACCTAAAAGTGGGCGGTGCCACGCCCACTGTCTAATTTTGAACGCGGTTCCTATAAAGTTATCTCATACCATCCCAGAGATAAATAATTGAATGTCTCTGGCGTGTTTCTTATAAAGATATCTCAATTTTTACTCAAGTTAGAGCTTGCACGGACGGACGGACGGATGGACAGACGGACGGACGAACGGACGGACAGACAGTCACCCGGATTTCAACTCGTCTCTTCATCCTGATCATTTATATATATATAACCCTATATCTAACTCGATTAGTTTTAGGTGGTACAAACAACCGTTAGGTGAACAAAACTATTATACTCTGTAGCAACAGAGTATCTTTTCTTCTCCCGTTGGTCAGGTCTTGTATTTCCAATCGTTGTGCTTTTGTCACTAGTATCCACATGAAAATTGTAAGTAGAATTTTCATTTTGTCTTAAAAAAAAATGTGTAATGTGCCTTTGGAATTTTCAAGATTGTTTGATATTGTTTTTATGAACTACTCTTCCGGACTTGGTTATAACTGTAGTATTCAGATTCTGTGCTATTGTTTCCCTTTGATACTTGGCAGATAGTCTGTTTCCTAGTATTTTATTTATTTTCACAAAATTGTTGTTGTTGCTGTTGTAGCGGCAGAATTCCGAGTTGACAGTCCTTGGCCGAATAAAATCCGGGTCCGTTCCGGTCACGTAGACCCGACTGTCGTGGGGTCCTCTCATTCTGTATATTCTTTTGGGGGTGTCCTGATTTTTCATTGTTCATCACGAAGGTTTCTGGAATAAGCGCATAAAGAATATGCCGTAAGGGTTGCCTTATGTCTTCGGCCGCTCTGGATTTAATTAGTTTGGCTATAACATACTTGGAGAATTTGTCAATTGCTGTGATTACCAGCTCTTTTCCGACTAGGAATGTATCCATGTGGACTATCTGTCCTGGAAACTGAGGAATAGGTGTGGCTTGGATTTGTGGTTTCATTGGGTGCCGATCATAAGCTCTTGCACGCAAGGCATTTTTTTATAATATTTATTTTTAAATTTCCTTGTCATGGTTTTAATGTAGTTATTTTCTAGGATTTGTAATTTATTTTTCTTTGCGCTTCTGTGAGCACGCTTGTGCACTTTTAAGATAATTTCTTCTTGCTCTTGTTCTTTTTTAATATTTCTTACTAGTTTATTGGAAAAATTAATCTTATAGCTTCGGAAATGTTCTAGAAATATTTCCTGTTTTATTCCTATTGTATAGTTGGTTCGAAGGCTAAAGGATCGATGGATAAAGGAATTTCTTAAAAATTTTCACCAAATTATCGAAATTGTATTGAGGTTGGGATTTCATGTACCCATGGTAGGTAGGAAAAACGATTTCGGACTTATAATCGAGGGTGGGGGCTATATCGAGAAAGATTTGGTTCTTAAATGCGTTTATGGGAGCGTCAACGTGACATATCAGATTATGAGCAGAACTTTCAGCACTATTTGTTGCTATGGATCGTGTATGAATATCCGTTTCTCGTGGTATTCGGGAGAGGGCATCAGCAACGAGATTTGCTCTTACTGGCTTATATAAGAGTTCATAATTTTATTCTTCGAGAATGGCCTCCACCGTTTCATCTTACTGTTATCATTCTTAGTGCTTAGAAAATAAATGAGAGAGGAGAGAGAGGTGGTCCGTGTATATTTTTACGTTTGCTGATCCGTACAGGTAGTTTCGAAATGAATATAGTGCCCATATTATGGCAAGAAATTCTTTCTCATTGGCGGCGTAGTGCTCTTCCGCCTTATTCAGAGTTCTCGAAATAAAGGAAATATGTTTGTTGTTCTGTGATAGAACTGCACGTAGCGCGAAGTTTGACGCGTCTGTGAAAAGTTCCATATCTTTAGTAAGGTAGTATGCTTATATTATGTCCTCAGATATCAAAGTTTTTTATTTTACTAAATACTTCTTAAGCTTCTAGGTTTAGATTTATTGAAACAAGGGAAGATTTTTCTTTGAGATTCTGCCTTCTTCCCCTCTTAAGAGTGATGTCAAGGGCTTTGCCAATTTTGCATAGACCCTAACAAATTTTCGGTAAAACCCAGACAATTCTAGAAATGACCGAAGTTCCTTTAGTGTTTTGGGTTCCGGGAATTTAGCAATTCTTCTGCAGAAATAATGTATCCCAAGAATTCGACTTCTTCATGTAGAAATTTTCATTTGTCCAGTAGTACTTTTAAATTAGCATCTTCCAAAGTTTTAAAAATCTTTTTAATATCAGTTATGCCCTCGTCTGCCGTTTTACTGAAGATAATTATATCAACTATATAAACGTAGCATTTATTTCCGATATGCTCACGGAGGATGCAAACAGAAAACGCTGTTTCTCGTAAACTGCCGGTTTCAGTGGGATTTGGTGAAATCCACTTTTTAAATCAACTACCGTAAAAAAATTGTTATCCCGCGATGTAACGACATTTATTTCTGGTATTGGGTACCTGTCCGAAATGGTCACGGAGTTAAATTTCCTATAGTCGATTACCATTCTGTACTGCTTGTTACCTGCCGATTACCTACAATCCCTACGGAAAAGTGGTATGGGGAATGTGAAGGTCTAATAATTCCATCATGTAGTAACTTATCAATTTGTGTTTCAATTTCAGCTTTTAAAGCGTAAGTAGGAGAGTCAGACTTCGTACGGATTTCACCTACTACTTTTGTGGTAAATGTAAGTCTTTCATCCGGATCTGAAAAAAGTTTCGGGTGTCTTGCCACTAACATACCTAGTTTTTCTTTTTGTGACGATGTAAGGTGCCCATCCCATTTAATTATGGCATTATGTAAAATTTAATATTTTCTTTGAGATTGAATAAATTAGCAAAGGTGTGCTCTTTGATTTCCACATCGCCTGCAACGATTTTGCATAAAAAACAATTCTATTTGTTATAGTTTTCTTTACGAATTGTGGTTAAATGTAATTTTTTGTTGACCCGGTGTCGACTAAAATTTTTAGAGTTTCGCCGCTCTTCGTTGTAAATTCTATGTAGGGTAACTAAGAGCTTATCATTCTAAAAAATTAATATCGTTAAATTCTAAATATTGGTTATGTGCTTGTGGTGGTTCTGTGTAGAGTCCAGACAATTATTTAAAGTTTGTTCTTATTTTTCGTTTAAGTTTTCATGGTTTGCCTCGTATTGCTAAAACTCAGAGTATATGTGAAATTTACGTGTAATTTTTCCATGGTGTTGGTTGATTGATGGTGGGGGTCTTTCACGATTATAATTTGGCCTTGGTCTGTTCATATAGTCAATTCTTCTAGTGCGCATACTTTCGTCTACTTCCATCGGTTGTGGTTTAGGACCTTGGGGTCTAGGAGTTGGTTGTGTGTGATAATTGTAATGCCTATTTGGTATGTATCTCTGTCGAGAATTAAATGGGATTAATATCGCGAGTCCCTTGGGGACTGTGAGCGAGTTGAGGATTAAATATCGACAGTGGTGGACTGCGTAGAGGTTGTTGTAACTTAAAGTAGTTGGTTTTGGAAATTTCCTATGAATTATTGTAATGAGCATAATTTGCTCTATAAGTTTGATATTAAAGTTTCAACCATAAGTGTAGGGCTTGCGAGAGATCTACTGGTTCTCTAAGAGTTTTCCTTCCAAAGAGTTTTGGCAGATCACCATTTAGACCGCGGATAATGGTATCTAATGCCTTGTCCCTATATTTCTGGTTAATAAGCTTATATTTGATACTTTTAAGCTTCCTAATTTGTTCAATATTAATTATAATTGTCTATAAACTCTTTGGTAAAAATCTTGCATTGAGTACCTACCCTGTATTAATGAAGTCATTTGGTACTCGAGAGTCGCTAGGTCTCTCTAGTGTTATAGGATTCCAAAGCTGCTTCTCCCACTATTTTATTTCTAATCGTATTTAAAACACTATAATATTTGGGTGTGCCTTTTGTGTGTTCATATATTTGTAGGACACTCTTTCTCCATGAATTAAATTCGCCTCGACTTCCTGAAAATTCGCGAAGACATTTTACTATGTCGGGAATTTTGTCAAGATCTCCCAGATTATTTGACTAATTGTTCTTCTATTACTTGGTCAGAAATTATATTTGGTCCTGCATTATGGTTGAGTGTTGCCTGTTCTATTTGTGGTCATTGTCGTGTAAATATTTCTGTCATGTTTGTTATTAGGGAGTTTAGTTCGTCTAAGCTAATTTGTGCATTAGGTGATGTATGGTTTAGAGTAGCGGGTCTTAGGTTATCAGGATTCGACATTTTTAAGCACTTTTTTTTTTTTAGTTTCTGAAGCGTAACCTATATTTTTCATAAGTTTATAACAATTTTTATTGAATAGTAGTTTTAACTATATCCATGGTTATTTTAACAATTTAAAAATGGTTTTTTACATAAATGAAAATAGTTTTTATTTATAATCTACCTCGGTTCAATTATGGATTCCCTCGTTGTTTGAAGTTTGTTGGATAGTTGGCCAGCACGTAATGCTTCCCTTTTGCTACTGCTACTTAGGCAACGTTTGTCTATCACAATTGGAGGTTGGTTCAGTTGTGTATTCTCTCGTTGTTTGACGTTTGTTGGATAGTAGGCCAGCACGTAATTCTTACCTTGTGCTATTGCTACTTTGGCACTGTTTGTCTATCACACTGTCACTTGGGGCTTTTTTGGATTTTGTTTTCACTTCTGCGTTTAGTTTATTTCTGCAGTTTTGTGTTCTTAAGTTTTTATACACCTTTTCGCATATTTCAGTTGGGCTTTGTATTCAAAACTAATGTCTCACTTTTATTTTTGTTGTGACTTTTTATAAAAGTTAAGATTTGTAGTATTTTTGGTTCCTTGCCATTTCACAAGTTCATGAATACATTTTCACACATTAGCAATATGCCGTATACGATACGTGATTCGTTTCCGGTTTTTTAACTAGCTACACACCGTACTAATTGAGGACGTTTCACGAGACAAGCTAAGTTTTTAGTTCTTTTTAACAGCACTACTTGAGGGCTTTTTGTTAAAAAAGGACTACTGGTTTTTGAATTTTGCTCGGGCCAATCAAGGCCTTCCTTTGCGAAGGAAGTAAAAAAAAAACACACCGGTTTCTTTTTTTGGTCAAAGTGACCGCACTTTATTATAATCCAAATAAAACTGCTGTCAATTACCATTTACCTTAGTCTTATATTATATTTTAAATTTCATTACTTAGTTCTAAAAGCATTGCATTGTCGGCATTTGTAAAGTTCTTGCACTCGTTTATGAAGAATTTTGAGAAATTATATTTCTCGGTAAAAATCGAAAGCAAAATTATTTGCTGAATTGCATTTTGTATTTATTTTGGTTTTAATGTTTGCATAAACTTACACAAGTGCGTATTGTGACATAAATACGTCACTATATTCATAGCTGTGATACAATCTGACCTTATTTACACTTCAGCAAAAGTTGAACGCTATTGAAATCTGAATAAATTAGCGTTTCATAATAATTCTTCAGAAATTTTCCGACAAATGAGTAAGATAAAATTAAACGCGAATTTTTAAATTTTACAGCCTTTTTATTACAGAATATTCTTTATATACTTATTTGAATCTCATTTTATTTAACTATCTTCCTAATTTTAAGATTTCTGTATTTTCCAGGCTGAAGAACGATTAGCGATGATAGAAGAGCAACGGCTCATGGAAGAAAAACGTCAACGAATGCGTAAAGAAGAAGAAAAACGTGTCAAAGAAGAACAAAAAATGATACTAGGGAAAAATAATTCACGGCCGAAGCTCTCATTTTCTCTTAAACCTGGAGCTTCGTGATTTAATTAAATTTAATAAGTTCTTACCTTAAGTCTTAATTTAAATATTTCATTTTTATAATATAAATACATAGAATAAAATATTCCACAATATTTTTATTACTATTTGTTCACATGGCTCATAGTAAGTGATTCTACAACATCACATACGACCTAAATCGCATCCAACACACCACACCAAGAGGTGTTTCTTTTGCTTTATATCGTATTATGTCTGATCATCGACTTCTGTTCACTGTGATTAGTTGGTGACCAAGCATATCTATTGTAACCATGGCTGTTAACGCCTGTCGCAGAACGTTGAAATGCAAGGTAAATACGTTACATTGTAATCTATTATAAATAAAATAATTTTTTTTTATTTAAAAATATATATCTCTGTACATTTTACTTTCATCTAAGTATGAATAAAAATATATTCATGTTTAAATAATGTGTGTGTGATTTGGCTGGGAAGTTAAGCAGGAGCAGATGATGAGGTGCAAGTAGCGGAGCAGGAAATTGAGCGGGGAATGGGTCCGTTATTATGTATATCGGCGGCAAACCTGTAAGTATAAAACATACCAATATTGTTTCATATAATAATAAGTGTATACATTTCATTTATGTACTTTAGAAAAACATATTATTGGTATGAGTGCCAACACCCGGCAATACATCCACCGCTTCTGCCTCAAAGGTTTCAATTGCCTGCTCCTCATTCCTACTGACTGAGGGCCTCCAACGGTCACTTGCGCATGCGCCTTAATTTTCCACGCTTGACAGCGCAATTGGTGCTTCCAATGCATTATAGATGGTGGGTGCAAAAATCAGACTTTTCGCACACACACACACTTTTGAACTTACCTCCTTCCATTTGGCTGCTGTGCGCGTTAAATTATTTGTGAGGTTATACTTACTTGATCTTCATGAGAAAGAACCTATATCGGTTGTTTTTAAATGTGAAACTAAATGCATGTGCATGTTTGTTTATATGCAAGTTCCCTACAAGAACCGTGACGGTCATATGACAGTCACAGCTGAAAAAAAATTTTCAGCGCGCAGAACAAAGTTTCTATCATTTTCATAAGAGCCTTGTCCAAAAACTTATGTAAACAAACGTGTGTTAGTTTGCATCTCTCTTTAACACATGGATATTCGGAATGGATTCACTATGTATCTATACTGCTCACTCGCATGTCTTTTTCTAAATCATTGCTGACTATAAATCCATCATAGCTGAAAATTGTCAGTTATGATTGAAACGCTATCATAGCTGCAATTTGTCATTTATGTTTTTATTTTTATAAACCTTTTTTAATGAATGATATTTTAATTATATTTTCATTATTATTTATATTTTAATGTCAAAAGTCAATTACTATCATTTTTATTATATCAATTTTTGTTCATACGCATGCGAAAGAACATCTATACATATTTATCTACATTTTGCTTGGTTCTCTTATAAAGTGGTGTAGTTCGTTGCGTTCCCTGATAGGGTGGTGAAATTTTATTTTCAAACTTGCGCGTTTTCGATATTCCCTCATCGTAATTAACATCTTAGAACAGCTAACATTTGCGCCTTCTCTATTCATTAACAATCTCTGGTGAGGGCATATGAATAGGGCTGTAAAGCAAGAATAACGTCATTAAATAAACCTCACAACAAACGTCATAAACTTTTCCTCACAACGTAGTTGTGAAGTTTTATTAGAATAGGGCTGTAAATTACAATTGAAGGTTTAGGAAGCAAGATGAATAATCAAGATTGTGGAATATAGTTTAAAGATTAAAGTTTAATAAAAAAACATAGAAAAATTAGATTTACTATCTATATTATATTTATTTATTTATTTGTCAATTCTCATGTACTATTGGGTCGATTATTTTCCTCGGTGACAAAATATTTCGACTCCGCACGATCTCTTCAAATGAGAGAGTACAATCGGGCGCAACCCTTGTCAACAACGCTTTTGTATTCGTGCATCTGCGGTTAGAAAATGGATCCAGTGGAAACAATACTGATAAAGGGATATCATTTTCGTCAGTTTTGTAATTTTTTGTACTGTCTGAAAATTATTTTCACAATTCGATGAAACGCAAAAAACTCCAGGAAGTTTTATTTAATTGTTTCAGTTGTTGCTCTACTTAGACCTGAGCGTAAAAGTTGGCCATGAACTCTTGTTCGTTTCATATACTCGTCAAGTAAATTTTGAAAAACTACTTTCTTTTGCTTAAGATCAAATTGTCCAGCCAGATATTAACTCAATCCGTCAAAATTATCTGTTCGATGAAGTATTTTCCAAGTACAATGATTTTGTGGTTTTACGGTTTGCAATAATGCCAGTGCGGTTGACTAGAATATTTTAAAATAATAATTCAGCAAACTACCTTGAGCATTATTGAAAAATGGAGAGTGAAAAAATAAACTCTTTTTAACAATTTTTTACAAATTCATACAAACTAAGTAAATTTTAAAAAGTTCTTGAAAATCCCGAGACTGCCCCAAAAATGAGACATTTCGCTTCCCTTCAGTAATTTTAGTTTAAATCCACTACGCACAAATATGATGTTCCGTAATATTTAAAACCTTCTTGACGGTTAAATTTAATTCCTCCTAAATTCAATCCTCTCGTAAACGTTAAATTCAATTCCACTGCATTTTTGATAACTACCGTCAGCAAAAAAATAAGTTGCGCATAATTTTAATATGCTGTTAATCGCGGAGAATTATGACTCGCCTGATAAAAAATTACTTGTGGGAATATGCTGGCGGCACAAAAGTGCGCCACACAGATTAAGCAAAGGGTGAAAAATTGCTGATCAAAAGGCATTAGCGAATATCAAGTTGGCGATTGCGCCATCATAGCTAGGGCTGATCTCGGAGTGCAACAGTATATGTGAAATTTGGTCAAAATTGGAATTATCATTAGGGCGGCTAGAAAAGCGACATTACTGACGATGCTAAAAGAAATAGGCGTCGCAATTATCGATGAGCTGTTAGTATTTTTGTTGTATAGTTTGCCGTCGTCGTACGAGACATATGTCTCAGTGCAGTGCATATATCTCTGTGCAGTTGTAAAGTTTATCGATATACCTATATGGTGTTGATAGAACATTTGAGAACTTTGAGCACGAAAATGAAAAATACATTAAAAACGAAAACAAAATAGACGACGTATTCAAAAATAGTATTGCAGATGACGCCGTTGAGTACAGTAACGAAAAATCGGTAGACGTACCTAATTGATCCGCGCGTTAGAGGTCGACCAACGTTTGTGCGCGCGGGACAGGGAGGGATACCATGAAAAGTATATCACCAATCGCTCGCTGATATCGATTGAGAAGTGGATGCTGTTGATTCAGACGATCCGCAAACTTTAGCGGAAGCATTGCAATTCGAAGAGGTATCTATGTAGTTAATGGTGCTCAAAGATGAATTTTTGGCGGACTTGAGGAGCGGAATTCGGCAAATAGTTGAAGACATTCGAGTCGTAAAGCAATTGGCAACAAATTCGTGTTCCGTACTAAAGATGAGTATTTACTGAAAGTTCGACTAGTGGCAAAGAGTTACACTCAACACCCAGGGGAATGTTTTCATGAAGTTTCCTGCCCATGTGCACGGTCAACTTCAGTACAACAGAGAAAAATCTCGCGATGCATCAGATGGATGTATTCACCACTTATTTAAATGAGGATCTAGACGAAAATATCTACATGGCTGTTCCAAATTTGCTTATAAGTGTGTTGAAGATAATTCAACGTGGTCAGTCTGTCGGCTTAAAAGGCATAGCAGCGAACTGCAGAAGAGTGGCAACCAGCAAGCCCTGTGTCTAAAACACTGTACGCGTTGCTCCTGTGAGGGTTGAACGGTTGTTTAAAATAAATATTTAAATAATATTTTATGATTTGCTTGATAGTATTTTACTATAGCACATAAAATACGATCAAGCAAATCATAAAATATTATTTCAGTTTAAAATTTATTAAGGTTCTATTACGGTATTCTACCCAACTGCATTTTGGTTGAGGTTTTGAAATTAGATATTATGGTTATCAAATCAACTCGTCAAACTAAATTTCCATTGAAGTTTTGCCAAACCTAAGTTTTTTTTAAGGTATTATGGTTTTCAACCCTGTGCCTGGTGTTGACTAGTGTATAAAAGAATTTCAACTGCTACGAAGCACTAGTAGTTAAATATTAATGAATTTTATAGGAAAAATTTTAATAGAAAAGGTTATTTAAACTAATCTATTTATAATTTTAAACTATTTTAAACAGTTAATATGTACAAATACATAGAAAAAAATTGAAAAATGTACGTGGAATCAAATCCCGAAACTGGACGAGGCAAGCTACAAATTAAATACGGTAAAATTAAAATAAGGGAGTGTGGGAAATGTTTTAAACATAAATGGTCGATACAATATACTATTCCTAGGAATATATTGTACTTTTTGAGCAAAATTAAATGAAGCGTTAACGAATGCTCATCTTCAGTCATTGGCGTTTTATCCACAGCGTTATGGTGTTAATATTTAAAGTCAGGTTTTGTAACAACCATAGATATCGTAGGTTACTTCAGTCCAAAGTTAAAATATTTAAACTGCATTCTTGATAACTACCTGCAGGAACGAATTGCAGAGTTTGTGAGACGTCCCTTCATTTCATTTAGTAAAAAACTAAATGATTCCTCATTTAAACGAAAATAACTTATTCCATTTAATAGTCAATAAAACTTTCGCTTACTTTATGTTGGGAATTTCGAATGGATTTGAGTGATCACGAATGCTTATTCTTATGCGCACTACAGCAGTTTTGGCCTCAACATTTTTGTCATCAAAACTTATGTTCATTTGAATAATTATTCACCTTTTCGAGAGCAATGAGTAAATAAAATTGGTTTGATTTTTCGCTTAAAAATTTTCAGCTGTTAT